AACCGAGGGGGCAATAACTCCCTTTTGAAGTGTACACATGATTCCCGAAATTCTTGATTCCCGGTGATTCCCGTCCGCTTATAATTACTACATAGGTTTTTCGGGGGGTTTTAGTGGTATAAAACGCTTATTTCGACTGATTTGTACATATTTCTCTAGTTTCCCGCTTATTCTAAGCGATTTCTATCCGCTTATAATTATTACATAGGTTTTTCGGGGGGTTTTAGTGGTATAAAACGCTCATTTCGACTGATTTGTACATATTTCTCTAGTTTCCCGCTTATTCTAAGCGATTTCTATTGATTTTGATCAATTTTTATCCTGATGATTCCCAGACAGGTGTACACATGATTCCCGGAGTTATTGCCCCCTCGTCTGACTTGTAGAGTGGTGGAAGAACGTTCTCCGGGAGCTCCTAAACACACATCAAGGAACATTGGGCATTCCCTAAGAATCACCGTGCTATCGATCTGTGGTAAGTTGTTGTGCTGTGCCCGGAGACGCCACTGTGAGCCTCTGTGCTTATTGTTCTAGAAGGGCAGTGCCAAGCGGTTTCTGGTGAAATTAAACTTAAATTGACATTGACAACATCGCCGCATTATTCATCTTTACAGCCTTACCGGAATGGCTAATTGGGCACTCTTACTTTCTCATACCACTCCACCACAGGCAGCACCCCGACCCCGACGATAATGACTATTCGCAGATGAGTGTTTCCGGTCTGGTAACTTTATGCACGTTTTGGGCCTGAGTTGAAAATGTTACGTGTATTTTAATTCGGTAAAACATTGTATCTCAATTTCAGTTTTAAATAGAGTTTTGTTCTTTAATTATTTATTACTGTACGACGCTACTGTCACCATGCTCGACACGAGAGTCCTTTATTAGGTAATTGCACCGACATTTAACCTCATTTCTAACCTGTTCAGACGCCGCCGTCTGTAGTAGGTGGTAGTGTGTGAAGTTGAAATAGAATAGTTACTGTTACCTGAAATATATGAGAACTAACTAGTTCAAGGAAATGGGCATGATCTTTACTACATCAGCCAGTGTCATGCTGAAACTAGAACACTTTTGTGAGCAGTACTAGAGTTTAATGTGCTTGATTAGTGTGCGTTTTGCTTGTATGAATTTCTCCTTGGCATGTTTTTAATTTTATTTTGTTTGTTTTGATAGCTCCATCAACCCGCCCTTCATAATTCATTCTATATATACTTGGATATCATTTTTGGTCTGGACTCGCCAGTCTGCTGTTGTCACTTCAACCCCGCCCAACTCATTGTGACTTCGATGGATTTTTCAATGGATCTTAAAGGTAAGTGTCTTCATAGCCCAAGTAGTACTCAATATCTTAATTGCACTTTCTGCTGATGTTCAGCTTATATTTTGCCGAAACACCTTAGGGATCGTACGCAAACCACGTGACGCATTTTGGGGGAGGGAGGGGTCTGTGAAAACACCACTCACCACCACCAGGGGGGAGGGGGGTGTTTCGGCCAAGTCACGTGACTATTAATTACATGCTAAAATAAGCATATTTTTGAGAAAGACTAGCACAAATCCGTTTATTTCGTGATAAATCACTAAAATCTGCCGGTGTTTAATCAAAAAGTCACCACGAAATTAAGTTTTGACTACCAGCAAACATACACTTTTTATTAAAATGCTCTATATAGTCGTAAATACGTCAAATAACACATATGCTGAAAACCACATGAATATGGAGGGGGGAGGGGGGGGTCCCCGAAACCACCACAGACCACCACAGAGGGGGAGGGGGGTGGTCAAAACCCACCAAAAACCCGTCACGTGGTTTGCGTACGATCCCTTAGAGACTGGTAATAATTTTCCAATGATTAACTCGCTGTAACTTACTCGAACATTTTTATTACAAATCTTATAGCTTGTTCCAATGATTAGAACGATGAGGGCTAATCATGATGGTACCAATTCCCTGAGGCAACCGCAGTGCCATCCTTCCTCAGCATGTCCCTTGCACCCAACCCCGGGGCGGAGGAAGGGAGCGGCCCCCGCCTCGACCTCCTCAGCCCCCTACCCCTACCCTCCTTGTCCTCCGGCGTCTAGAAGTGAGCTTTGGCGGGGGGCCGGCGGTGCGGAGCGGGGCGGGGGGCTGTCGGGCGAGCTCTAGGCTGGGAGGTGCAGTCGGGGAGGGGCCGGGGGGATGCTGGCTGCTGGGGCGACTCGGCTCAGCGCCCCCTTCCGCCCCCATGCACATCCGCCGTATATTTTAACTTCTCGCGCCGCTTACGCCCCCTCCCCCTGCCCGGCCCGGACAACCACCCGGGCACAGCTCTCGCAGAATGCTCATTTCAACGGTGTACAATTGGGGACGCGCCCCCCTCTCCCCCCACGAGCCCCATCCCATCCCCCTGCCCCCTTGGCAGGAACGACGATTCAACGCACCCTTCGCCCTCCACCCTCCACCCTCCACCCCCTACCCCACCCCGCCCTACTGAGGCGGCGCCGAGGGCTCTGGTCCGAGCCGAGTCGGCTGCTCGGCGAGCTCGGCCGGGTTCGGGTTCGGCTGGGCGCGGCTGTACGCCCCCTCGCCCCGCCCCCACTGGCTCGGGCCCGGCTCCGGCTCAGTCTGCTCTGCTGCTGCACGGCCGTCAGGAGCGTCTCCCAGCCGCGTGCCGACGTCCCCGCGGCGACCCGGCATCGCTCGTCCGCACTCGCGTGTTCGCGCCAACTCGTCACGGCCGCGCCCTTACCCTTGTCGTGCTCGTGCGTGCGCGCGCGTGTGCTCAGCGCGCGTCCGTGCGCGGCCCTGCGCGTGTGCTGCTGCTGCGGCCGTCCCTGCCCAGCGTGTTGTGGATATGTGTCAGTGAAAGTGCAAAGCGGATACAGTGCAGTGTGTGTGTGTGTGGTGATGGTCACGGTGACCCCCTGCGGGCCCTGTGGGTAGTGCGCCGGCCCTCGTGGTGATGCTGGCCGCGGCGCTGGCCCAGGACGACGCCGGCGGGGGCGGCGGCGGCTCCTCGTAGGACGGACAGAGGATGAACTATGCCGGGCTCCGGCTGCAGCTGCACCCCGCCGAGCGCGCCCAGCCCGCGGAGCACGCGCAGCTCGCCCATGGTTGACCGGCTGCTGGCGGGGCTGGTCCTGGCGTGGCTGGCCGGGCTCGGGGCGCACGCCGTCACCCTCAGCCAGGTGGTGGGCGGCGTCGGCGGCGGGGGCGCCGGCGGTGGTGGTGTCGGCGCCGCCCTCGCCTCCATGAGCCCCTCCATCGCGTCCGTGTCGGCCGCCGCCGACCCGGCGGACCCGCCCACCGGACCCGAGGACACCGTCGCAGGCTCGTCGGCGTCCTTCATCAACTCAGGTACAGGCTCACCCGTGTCTGCCCCGGAGGGCCTGGAGGCGCCGCGCCGCCGAGGATATCCAATGTCGCCTCGTGACCACGGCGCCGCCACCGATGAGCCGTGCTGTTGTTCCTGCAGCGTTGTCATGCGATCCGGCGTTCGGTTGAAAACGCGCCTTGCGGTGGGCGGCTCTTGATTACCTGTCCTGCCCGCAGGGCGTGTCGTGATCACTGCCGAAGGGCGAGGGGCAGAGAGGAGAAGGGCGGAGGGGGTGAAAGGCTTCGTGCGAGTTCCTTTGACGTGCGATCGCCCGGCGGGGGGCGTCCTCCCCGTCACACGGCGGGGGCGTGGCGTGGCCTGGCGGAACAGGCCGCCGAGGGGACCCTCTCTCTTAGTCCGCCATGCATATGCAAACGAAATCGAGTGGAAGGCTTACGTTTCGGGATGCGGCACGTCGTTGCGGCGGTGTGCTTTGAGCCATAGGGAGGGAAGCAGATGGGGGGGGGGGGGGGGCAGTGTGTTGTCATTTGAGGCGACAGGCTGCGGCCACGGCGTATAGGGCAGGACAGGGCGGCAGAGGGCGCGCCGTCGAGAGGAAGGTGAGGGTGAGGCGTGGAGGTGCGAGGCGGTGCTGTCGGAGCCGCGCCGCCGTCGCAGTCCGCGCATTAGCATATGCGAGAGCAACCCGTTCGTGAGCAGCCTCGACGTGGCAGGTTGCCTACCACCTCGGCTGCGCGTTTAGTTGCCCACCCACTCGGCTGCGCGTTTGGTTGCCTACCCCCTCGGCTGCGCGTTAACACGTTCCTTGCGGCGTGGCCACTATGTGGTTACAATCCCATGTTAAATCATAGGACTGAGGCGCAGGGAATGTGTTAAGTTGCCTTCCTCGACTACGCGCCAGCTTAAATTCTGTTTGGCGATGTAGTTCTCGATCGGGTCGAGTCAGGGTTGAACGATTGTGTCGCAGAAGGTGACGGTTTTCCAAGAAAATCGAGCTACGACATGATTTTAGAATTGTCATACCTCTGCTCTTATCTCTCTACCGCTACCCATCGAGACGACTGAGCTCTGGTCTGCCCTCCTGCACCTCCATTTGCGCCACCGGGAGCGTTCGGGCGGGGCTGTCTCGATCACTGGGAATCGCATTCCCACCCGAACGCTCCGCGTCTGCCAACCGATCCGCATCCCCGCCCCTTGAGGTTATTGGCCAGACGGTGTCAAATTTAGTCTGGGACCTCTCTGCGAGTATAGTGAGTCTGCAGATATCACTGACTATACCTCATCGGATGCACTCCTCAGTTGCGCGCAAGGTTTGCCCATCTGATATCGGTACAGTTTGCACGTCTGTCGGCTGCCGGGTGGGTTGCCTACCTCGGCGGCGGGGTATTGCGCAACTTTGGCTCGGCGTCGTTCTCCGTCGCTCTCCCCGGCTCTCCAAACCCCGTAGTATTAGTACTCCGTAATTGGGGTTGCGCTTCGACAGCAGCGTCGAGCCGAGCGGGTCCGAGCCGAGCCCAGGCTGATTGGCCAGCCCGTTTGTGATTATGGCCCGGTGCGGGCGGGGGTCCGGTGCGAACGGACCGGGCTGCGTCCCCCCGGGGGCCGAGCGGGCCGAGCGCTGCTGACGGCTGGCGGAGGCGGGGGGCGCCGCAGCCGGAGCCGGAGCGGAGCTGGCGAGGAAGGGGCGCTCCCCGCGGACCCGCCCGACTCCACGACTAACCGGATCCACTCCGTCCCTCTGTGTGTGTCTCGCTGGCTGCCGCCTCCTGCACTGCGGTGGTGGCTGCGTCGCTGCCACCGCTGCCGGGGTTAACTTCGAAAGGGCGTTTCACTCGAGCTGCCTCCGGGTGGTGGCTGGCGCCCGGTCACTGGGTCCTCCTCCTGCTCCTGCTTGCCTCGTGCGGTGTGGCATCCTCCTTTGGGGCCCCGGCCCCCGGCCCCCGGCCCGCGGGTGCGGCTGGGCTCACTCCGGCAGCTTCCCGCCGCTCGGACTTGCGTCGCCGGGTTCCGGTCGGCGCGCGCTGCTCCGGCGACCATGTTGGCCGGCGTGATTGGATTACTCGTCAGCTCGTGTCCCGCGTCACCCTCGTGGATCTCTCTCCATCTCTTTCCCTCCCTCTTACTCTCCCCACCTTCCCCTCTCTATCTTTCTAAGAAAGGTTGCACTCGCCTCAATGCGCTGTTAAAAATTACATTCATAATTTATGCTTGCAAATTATGTAATCTACCTTTTCTGTTTATCAGTGTATACATAGTTATACTGCCATTAATTCTGGATAGAACCTATGAGCAGAGCAGGCCTGTTTTGGAGCGGGACTTCAATAAAATGTATTTATTTCAATGTCGCCCTCCCCTTTTCCCCCACCTCTCTCGCCGGCAGCTAACTCATGTTTGCTCCCTCTCGCACGAATCGCCGGACGAGCAGCGCCCGAATCTCGTTTGGCGTCCGCAACTGTCAGCTAAGTGACGGGCGCGAGGTCGGAAATGGGGTCAGCTCCGGGGGCCCCGCCCGTCCCTAGCCTGCCTCGCCCCTCCCCGCCTGAGTAGCAGGGCGCACAGGGCAGGCTGTACTACCGGCCAGTAGTATGTGCACGGCGAGTAAGGAGAAAAGTGGCACTTATTTCCATGTCGTTCCCACAAGAGCCGTAACGTGTGGCATGTGTTACGCCACTTCCAAGGGTTGGCGCCTGTTCACGCGGTTCTACGACTGCATTCAGTGGTGAAAAAATAAATTACACGCTATATTGATGAAGCTAGAAATTATATATTAGGATGCGAGAAATAAAAACTCTCCCAAAACTAAACTTTTAATTGCATATATCAACATGACACACATTGGTCGTTTTTTCCGTCGGAAATGGGATCAGTCAGCGATGGGTCTGGCTAGGCTGGAAACCGATGGCGAGCTTGTAAAAAAAAAAATGTGCTGTGGATGAGCCGTTGGGCTATGGGCGCCGCTCCGAGAGGGTTGAGGCGGGCGAGGTGCTACGCTACGCCACGCCATGCTTTGTGCGTCCCGGCGCCGCTGTGAAGTGCTCCTCAGAGATCAGCAACAAGCGTGGTGGATTTGCAAGCTTTACCGCGAGCAAAGCATCCACCTGGCGGGGCGGGACGGGACGCGCCCACCCTCCCTCGTCTCCCTTGAGGGAGGGGTGGTCTGCTGCGCTCGCCTCATTCTGTCAAAAATCTGTTTCTGGGGAGAGAAAATGTAAATGGAGCAACCGCCCCCTCTACAACTCATTTTGTCGAGCACCTGCTTCAATTAACCTCGGAGGCAGTAGCAGCGAGTAGCGGCGGAACGAGTTGTTGTGCCGCGCGCACGGTAGGAAACTGTTTTCTTTCATCCTCGCTTGGAAAATGAAAGCGGTGGCCTGGAGAGCTTACGCTGTGACTAACGTTGTGATCCGGCAAAGTCGTCAGTGGAGAATGCAACCGCTTCCCGGACCCATTTCGCCTCTGGCCGTTGCTCCGTGCTCGGAAGGGGCAATCGATCCGTGACCTCGTTGAACCCAGAGTACCCTTCACACCAATTCACTTCCCTTTCACCACCCATGCGCAATGCCCTCAAACGTCGATCCTCCCCACCCCCTCCCTTCTCCCCAAATCCGCCTCCCTCGCTCATATTAGCGTTCGACATCCTTGGACTATTTTGGGGTGCGAGTGACGCGGGTGATTTCCAATTATCAAACCCGCACCGGACCCGATGAGAGGGACAAGGAAAGGAGGGGAATCGGCAGAGAGGGAGGGAGAGAGGGAGCGTGTTTGGTGGGGGCTCTTCAGCGGAAATGAGTTGTGCGCACAGCGCCAATCGTCTGCCTCTGGGGCGGTTTGGAGGGGGAGGGATGGGGATCAAGCGTAAGTAAAGGGGAAAGAGCGAAAGCGGGCCGAGAGCGATGTGTGTGGGCGATTTGGTGCAATAAACCTCTTTTTTTGCGCGCGCGTTCGAAACACGCTGAGTGCGATAGGGCTTTTCAAAGGACGGCAGGAGAAGTACCATTTACGCGGAGAAAATTACGAGGCGGGAGAAGGTGAGCTGTAAAATCCCAATTGCGGACGGTGTCTATGTGTCGGTCGTGCCGAGCGGCCCTCGCGTAGCGGGGATAGTTACAAAGGAAGGGAGGAAATGGGAGAAGGGAAAGGGGAAGGAAGCGAGGGCTGTTGTTGACACTCTAGTACAGTATTTTGCCGGTAGTAACAGACGGTAATGGCTTCCGTGTGGTTCTCTGTGGTTAGACTGCACTTCGGTGCGGGTTGTACACACAACTGTTGTTCAAATTCATGTGACGTCTCATTCTGTTACCTGTGAAAAATGTGTCATTCTTTTGGACGCTGGACGCTGCTGTCACATTATTTTTCATGTGACTTCAGATTTTACCATATTTTGCCATACCGTCTTTGCATATGTTAACCAATGTGACATTTCCATGAAGTGCAAAACAACTACCCCGATTTGGTCGCCTCAAGCCTCAACCAAATGGTTCTCTGGGTGTACGAAAGGGCATTTTAAAGAATTCGCCGGGCTTCTTGTTTCCCTCTTCAAAAATGTCCAAGAAATCGTTGCCGTGCGCCTTCGCTTGCAGCGCAGAAAGTAGTATGGAATCTAAACGAGGCGACTCGGCCACCCTTGCAGTGATCCCATCATCAAAACGGCCCCCACCCTTGAATGGCGTCACGTGACGCTCTCGCTCCTCGTTTACACGAGATGGACGCGCCTCTCTCTCTCTCGGCCACTGCCTCTCTCCAGGACGAGGCCTCCGCTGGGGTCTATGGGCTGCAGGGGCCGAGGTCGGGGACCGACGACGGGGACCTCGGCGAGGCCTTTGATTCGTAATAAAGACGCGGGACGGGTGACTTAAATAATGCCCTCCACCCCTTTTCTCTCCTTCCCCTCCTTTTCTCTCTCGCACAGGTCCGCCATAAAACTCGCACGCCTCACCAACTGACGTCTCTACTAAAGTCGAAAGAAACGAAACGGGCTGGTTTTGCGGCGCGCGGTCGGTACCTCTACGTTACCCCCACC